GGGTGGGGGCCCGCGTGGCTCCGTGGGCTTGCCTAGCACTACCGCGGCGGTGGCGGGGCAGAGCCGCGGGTCCGGCCTCGCCTCCTCCTCCGCCACCGCCTCCTGTCAACAGCTCAGCCACTGCGGTGACTCGGCAACTCCACTTCCGGGTCCGGGCACCGCCCGAATGTGCATTATTCATGAGGGGGCGGTACCTAGGTGCCCCAGCCCCTCCCACATGCAGGGGTTACTAATGCGCGCGGCCGCGGGTCCTGTCATTCTGAGGGGGCGGGACTTAGTGGAGCTGAGTTTCCTTGCTCGCCCTGCCCCGCTACCTCCTGAAGCCGTTAGGGGGCGTCAGAAGCGCTTGCGCGCTGGCTGCCGGTTGGTTGCTAGGTAACCGCGTCCGGGAGGAGCCGATTCCCTCCGGCAAAGGCGCGGAGACCCCACAGCGACGGCTGTCCCCCAAAGCACCCCTGGGACTGGGAATTGAAGTGAAAGAGAATCCGGATTTCCCGTGCGTGATCGAGGGGACGGACAAGCTTCTTGTCTTCAGGAAAGGGAGCGTTTTTTAGACGCTCCAAGTGTTCAGGTGCTACCTGCTTCTTTGAAGATGCCCTACAAACCGCAGCCACGTAAGCCGGTAACACTCCAACTTGCCCTCTAGGGAAGAACTGTGACCTTCACCGCCAATGACTACTGATCGTACCTCTCCTACTGATCCTTCATCTTCCTTTCCCTCTTGACCCGTAACCTTCTCTCTCCTTGTGACCCCTGGCCTGTGTCCCCACAGGATTCCTGGCCCTTTCCTGTTCTCTCCTACTAATCCTAGCCTTCTCTCCCACACCGCCACTGATCCACTGTTTCCTACATTTCACTTGTCCTCCCTCACCATTCCATTATCTCACTCCACTCTACTGACCCATCCTGACCAGCCCATCCTCCTTAACTCCCCACCCCCACTCCCACTACCAGGTCAACATGTACAACTATTGCCCTCACATTCGTGTCCCAAAGAAATTATTTTTCCAGCACTTTGCTGTGTGAACCAGTGCTGGGCTAAGTGTGGACCAGACCTTTGGGAGCCCACAAAGGGAGTACAGGAGAACTGTACAGGAGACACAGGACGGACTATGTGCCAGAGTTTGGTTTAGATTTTCTGTGCCGGGAGACTTGTGAAGAGAGACAGGTCAGGTAAAGAGGAAGAGGAGAGAGACCTCTTTCCCATCCCTGCACACATCCCATTCACACATTGCACACCCCAAACATTTCCCCCTAACTATTTCTGGAGCCTCGTGTGTCTCTCTTCCTTGTGAGCCCCTGGTCTGCTCCGGTGACTCATCCAGCCGTGTGAACTTTGTGTTCTTGTTGCCACCTCGCCAGATGTCATCCCTTCTCACAGGAAACCCAAGAGTCACCCCCCTTACCCACTCAGCATAGAGAGCTTTCCTCCCCAGCATCACCTAGAAGGTAAGGTAAGGCCCTGCTTCTCCAGGAGCCCTCTGTGGTGAAGGTACTCACTCCTTCAAGAATCACTTTTCCCACCTGGCCAGCATAGCTCAGTGGTTGAGCGTTGAACTATGAGCCAGGAGGACACGGTTTGATTCCCGGTCAGGCCATCTGCCTGGGCTGTGGGTTTGATCCTCAGGCCATCTGCCTGGGCTGTGGGTTTGATCCTCAGGCCATCTGCCTGGGTTGTGGGTTTGATCCGCAGTGCGGGGCGCAGCCAGTTGATGATTCTCTTTCATCATTGATGTTTCTATCTCTCACTCCATCTCCCTTCCTCTCTGAAATCAATAAAATATATTTTTAAAAATCACTTTTCCCAAGCCTATTATGAATTAACACCCTGGGACTAATATGCAGTTTCTGGCTCTGTGAGGCAGGACTTCTATTTATTTACTTATTCTAAATTTCCCTCACTCATTCCTAGGTATTTTGAGGTTTGGAGAGAAAATATTTGTCCATACTGTATTTTGGTCTGGCCTCCTCCATATTAGTCTTTGTTCCTTTCACCTGGGCTTGCATAGCAGGTGGACTCATATTTCTTAGATTTCTGCAACCACGAGGAGGCTGGTTTTCCCATATGGCCATGCCCTAGTTTTATGTTGGGGTTGAACTTTTTTTAAAAAATGTATTTTTATTGATTTCAGAGAGGAAGGGAGAGGGGGAGAGAGATAGAAACATCAATGATGATAGAAAATCATCGATTGACTGCATCCTGCATGCCTCCTACTGGGGATTGAGTCTGCAACCTGGCTGGGCATGTGCCCTTGACTGGGATTGAACCCCAGGACCCTTCAGCCCACAGGCCAATGCTCTATCCACTGAACCAAACCGGTTAGGGCTGAACTTTTGTTTCGAAGCTCATATATGTATTGTGTTTGGGCCTACTTATTGTTTATTTATTTATTTATTGACAGTATTATAGATATCCCCCATCATTCCCCCCCACCCAGCCTTCACCCTACTCCAGGCCTTCCCCACACTATTGTCTGGGTCCAGATTGTTTTAAGTTCAGCATTACTGAGGTCTGGTTTACATACAATAAAACGGACCATTTTAGTTGTCCATGTTGACAAGGTTTGACAAATTTTTACATTTGTGAACCACCACTACAATAAAGATATAGGAACTTCCTCTACCCAGGTAAGTTCCCCGGTGCCTCATCCCAGTCAGTTCTCCTGAACCCCCCACCCCAGATAACCACTGATCTGCTTTCTGTCACTACAGGTTAGATTTGTCTTTTCTAGCACTTGCGGTTCCAACAAGCTTGGGATGAGTTTTTATAAAAGCCCATTAGGGAAGACATTAGAGGCTAATTACACTGAGAGTGGAGGGAGGTGGCTGCAGACAGGAAGCAGAGAAACCTAGGTTACCTGGCCCTGCACACACCAGTGCTTCCCCACCCCACCCCCCCCAGGATTGTTTTAGTGCAATGTAAATATTGGTGGGTGGGGCGTGAGAAAAGGCTGGGTTGCAAGGTTGTATTCATCACCTTCTTGTTTCACTGAGGAGGGAGACAGGCAGGTTGGAGCAGTAGAAAAGCTTCAGAGAGGAGGCAGCTGTGACTGGGATGCCTGCAGTGGAGAGGGAAGATCAGCGTCGGGTTTGTTAGGGGATAGAGAAGTGTTCAGACTACACTGTTCTTGTTGCTCCACTGAGCAGACCTTGCAGTAGCTCCCTCTTGCTTGTAGGAAAAAGTCCCCAAAGTCCAACTTGCTTTGTATTGTCTGCAAGACCTTGCACGGTTTAGCTTTCGCTACCTACCCTACTTCAGATCTCACCATTGCTCTGTGAAAATTCCACAGCCACAGCACACTGAATTGCCCTCACTTCTTGGAAGGTGCCATCCATACTCTTTCTCCTCCAGGCCTTTGAAAATGCTGTTTCCCCTGCCTGCCTGCCTGCCTGGTACCATCTTTTCTGTCTGTTACCACCTGCTCCATGCCACCGTGCCCCAAATCTCTCCTTTATTTCCTCTTCACAGATCAGGTCTCAGGTTTGCCACCATATTCCCCTACAAAGGATTAAGTACCCTTTCAGGAGGCAGGATCCGGTAATATCCCCCCTAGAATATAAACTCTGTGATGACAAGGATCATGTTTGTCTTGTTCATGTTGATTCTCCTGAACCTAACACAATGCCTGGAATATATTAACTTCTGAAAATGAGTTAATTTGGAAAATTTGGAAACGGTTCTTTGGAAATTTTGCTCTGAGTGTTTGAAGGATAGGAAGGGATGAGCCTGGGATGGGGAGACAAGTGGGGAGGATAACAAGGAAATGTCACAGTAGAAGCATGTTTTTCCAGGTTCATGTTAATATCTGCTTTGACAGGGCTATGAATGATTCATATTTGAACCACATATACCCATGCCTTAAAAGCTGGGTGTTGGAGATTAAGAGATCAGAAATTCTGATGATACATTGCCATTCTCCTTTAACAATTATTTGTTGAGTGATGCTATGTACAAGGTTCTGTTCTAGGCATTAGTAATAGAGCAACAAACAAAAGAATCAAAAACCCCTGCTTTCATGGATCTTAACTTTTAGGAGGTAAGTTGTCAATAAACAAATAAGTAAAATATAAAGTTTGTCAGATGGTGTGGTAGGTGTCGAGAAGAAAAATAAAACAGGAAAATAGACTAGGAAGTTCAGGGATTCGGAAGATTATGATTTAAATATAGAGGTCAGGGAAGGCCGCATACATGTGACATTTGAGAAAGAACGGAAGGAAATTGAAGAGTTAGCGATGTGATATCTGGGGGGAAAGCATCCCAGACGAGGGGCAAGTGTAAAGGACCTGAGATAGGAGCTTGCTACACATGTTCTGGATCAGCAAGGAAATGGGAGGAGGGAAGTGGCAGGAAATAAGTTCAGAGAAGTGCATCCCTCTACCCCAGAGGGTTAATCAAATAACTCGTGGCATATTAAATGGATCACGATGAAGCCCCATGAATAATAATGTGTCATTAAAATGCATGAATGTCAAGCACCATAAACCATGACCAGCTCAAAACATCGCTAGTAATGCCCCAATAACAAAGTGTCCTTCCTGAAAATTGCGAGAATTCTAACTAGCTGCATGTGTGTATGTGCAGGAGGAGCTTTGCAAAGTTGCCAAATAGTGCCTGGCAGCCAGACTTCTTAGTAGAGAACTGAATTAGAGTCTTCTGTGAACTCCAGTGAGAAGCTAATTTTAGTTTGTGACTAACAAAGTTTAGTACTCCTTT